TTGGTATTGATATGATCAATTATGCTGATAGTTTTCCTAATATTGAACCAGCCCTGCATACCTGGCATAAATCCTACCTGGTCATATTCTTGTGATAAGTTGCTGTAATCTGTTTGCTAATATTTTATTTAAAATTTTTGCATCTATATTCATTAGAGAAATTGGTCTATAATTTTCTTTTTCTTTTTTTTTTTAGGCATTTGGGGTTAAGTGGCTTGCCTGGGGTCACACAGCTAGTGTTTAGTCTGAGGCCGGATTTGAACTCAAGTCCTCCTGACTTCAGGGCCAGTGCTCTATCCACTGCACCCCCTCGCTGCCCTGGTCTGTGATTTTCCTTCTCTGTTTTGACTCTTCCTGGTTTAGGTATCAGCACCATATTTGTATCATGAAAAGAATTTGGTTAGACTTCTTCTTCACCTGTTTTCCCAAATAGTCTATATAGCATTGGAATTAATTGTTCTTTAAATGTTTGATAGAATTCACCTGTAAATCCATCTGGCCCTGAAGTTTTTTTCCTAGGAAGTTCATCAATGCCTTGTTCAATTTCTTTTTCTGAGATGGGGTTACTTAAGTATTTTACTAACTCTTCTGTTAATCTGGGTAATATATGTTTTTGTAAATATGTATCTATTTCACTAAGATTGTCAAATTTGTTGGCATACAGTTGGACAAAATAGTTCCTAATTATTGTTTCAATTTCCTCTTCCTTGGTGGTAGCTTCACCTTTTTCATTCTTGATACTAGTAATTTGGTTTTCTTCTTTCTGTTTCTAAATTAAATTAACCAAAGGTTTATTTATTTTATTGTTTTTTCATAAAAACAGCTCTTAGTTTTATTTGTTAGTGCAATAGTTTTCTTAATTTCAATTTTATTCATTTTTCCTTTGATTTTCAGTATTTCTAATTTGGTGTTTAATTAAGAATTTTTAATTTGTTCTTTTTCTAGTTTTTTTTTAGTTGTATGCCCAATTCAATGATATCCTTTTCTATTTTATTTATGTAAGCATTTAGAGATACAAAACTTCTCCTAAGAACTGATTTTGCTGCATCCCATAAGTTTTAGTATGTTGTCTCATTATTGTCATTCTCTTGAATGAAGTTATTGATTGTTTCTATGATTTGTTGTTTGACCCAATCATTTTTTAGGATTAGATTATTTAATTTCCAATTATTTTTAGTCTGTCTTTCATGGCCCTTTATTGCATAAAATTTTTATTGCATCATGATCTGAAAAGGATGCATTAAATATTTCTACCTTTTTGCATGATTGTGAGGTTTTTATGCCATAGTACCTGGTCAATTTTTGTGTATGTGCCATGTACCACTGAGAAAAAAGTATTTTCCTTTCTATCCCCATTCAATTTTCTCCAGAGGTCTATCATACCTATCTTTTCTAATATTCTATTCACCTCCTTAACTTCTTTCTTGTTTATTTTGTGGTTAGATTTATCTAGTTCAGAGAGGGGGAGGTTGAGGTCCCCCAAGAGTGTAGTATAGTATAATAGTATAGTTTTGCTGTCTATTTCTTCCTGTAACTCCCTGAACTTCTCCTCTAAGAATCTGGATGTTATACCATTTGGTGCATATATCTTTAGTAATGATATTCTTTCATTGTCTATGGTGTCTTTTAGCAGGATGTGGTTTCCTTCCTTATCTCTTTTGATAAGACCTATTTTTGCTTTTGTTTTGTCTGAGATCATGGTGGCTACCCCTGCTTTTTTTTTTTACTTCAGCTGAAGTATAATATATTCTGCTCCAACCTTTTACATTTACCCTGTGTGTGTCACCCTTTTTCAAATGTGTTTCCTGTAAACAATACATTGTAGGATTATGGTTTTTAATGCATTCTGCCATCCACTTCCGTTTTATGGGAGCATTCATCCCATTCACATTCACAGTTATGATTACTATTTGCATCTTTCTCTCCATCCTCCACCCCATTTATGCTTTTCTTTCTCCTTTCTCCTTTTCCTTCCTCACAAGTGTTTTGCTTTTGACCACCACCTCCCTCAGTCCCTCCTTCCTTCTATTAGCCCTTTCCTTTTTCTTCCCCATTACCCTTACTGCTTCTTCCCTCCCTTCTATCCCCCCTCCTTTTTCTTTCCCCTTTTACCTCCTACTGCCTATAGGGTTAGTTAGATTTCTATATCTAACTGATTATGTTATTCCCTTCTTGAGTCAAATCTGATGAGAGTAAGGTTCAAACAATGCTCTCCTCCCTCCCTTCTTTCCCTCTGCTGTAACAGGTTTTTGTGCCTTTTCCTATAATGTAATTTACCCTTGTCTGCCTCTTCCTTTCTCAGTACATTTTCTTAAATGAGACTAATCCATTTACTTAGATCCATTTAACCCACTTGATTAGATTTTTTTTATCATTACATCAAAGTCAACTTACATGCACCCACTTTATGTACACTCCTTTGACATGGTGTAATAACAATACAGTTCTGAGGAGTTGTACATGTCATCTTCCCTTGTAGAGATGTAAACAGTTTGCCCTTATTAACAACATATTGTATCTTTCTGTCCCATTTACCTTTTTATGTCTCTCTTGAGTCTTGGATTTGAAGACCAAATTTTCTGTTGAGCTCAGGTTCTTTTATCAGGAAGGTATGGAAGTCCCCTATTTCATTGAATATCCATCTCCTCCCCTGAAAGATCATGCTCATTTTCTCTGGGTAGTTGATCCTTGGTTGTAATCCAAGCCCCTTTGCTTTATGGAATATCATGTTCCATGCCCTATGGTCTTTTAATGTAGAAGCTGCAAGGTCCTGTGTGATCCTGACTGTGGTTCCATGATCTTTAAATTGTTTCTTTCTGGCTGCTTGCAGTATTATCTCTTTGACCTGGTAATTTTGGAATTTGGCTACTATATTCCTTGGTGTTTTCAATTTGGGATCTCTTTCAGGAGGTGATCAGTGGATTCTTTCTATGACTATTTTACCTTTTGTTTCTAGGATCTCAGGGCAGTTTTCCTTTATGATTTCCTGAAAGATACTGTCCAGGCTCCTTTTTTATCATGACTTTTAGGTAGACCAATAATTTTAAAATCATCTCTCCTGGATCAATTTTCCAGGTCAGTTGTTTTACCAATGAGGCATTTTATGTTTTCATCTATTATTTTTTTCATTTGTTTTTGTTTCTGTTTGACTGATTCTTGCTTTCTCATAGAGTCATTAGCTTCCATTTGCCTGATTCTAATTTTTAACAAATTGTTTTCTTCTATTAAATTTTGTACCTCCTTCCCCATTTGGCCAATTGTATTTTTTAGGGACTTGTTTTCTTCAGTGTACTTTTTTTTTCCAGTTGGCCAATTGTATTTTTAGGCATTTGTTTTCTTCAGTGTACTTTTTTTTTCCAGTTAGCCAATTGTATTTTTTAAGGACTCTTCTACCTCTCAATTGACTTTTAAAATCCTTCTTGAGCTCTTCTAAGAAGACTTTTTGGGCTTCAGACCAGTTCATATTCCCTTTTGGGGTTCCAGATGTGGGTTTGTTGACAATGTTGGCCTCTTCAGAATTTCTGCCTTGATCTTCACTCTTCTTATAACATGAATCTATGGTACATTTCTTTTTTGCTCATGGTGTTTCCTTATTCCCTGGCCTTTAAAGAGATTGAGCTCTCCTGCAGGGGAGCAGAGGGCACTTACCCAAGCTTCTTGTGTTGGGAGCCTAGGTCTTGGTCACTGGCTTTGTGTGTTGGGGCCTCAGATGTTGGCCATTGGAGGCTGTAGGGTTCTGGCAGCTTACCTAGCATTGGGCTGGAATCAGCAAGGCTGGGATTCTAGGGCAACTCTAGGTTGCCTGTTTTTCCTTTCCTTTCACTTTCTTCAGCTCCTTTCAGATGGATGTTGTAGGGTGTTTTTCTGCTGGCAGCCCTTTGCAGTGCTGATTCTCTTATTTTTGCTGAGGCTCTGGGAGACCTGTTTGCTGTAGAATGCTGAGGTACCTGGTGGTTTTCTGAGCTGGTTTCCACCATTTCTCCCACCCTCACTGAGGGACTTGGAGGCCCAGGTGTTGGTGTTTGCCTGCTCCACCACTTGGGTTTCAAGATCTCTTCCTGGTGTGCTAAAGTGGGGTTTTCTGCTAGCTTGCTGGGATGCCTCCAGTTCAGTATTGCTCCTCTTCCCCCAGAACAAGAGGGGCCTTTCCTACTAATCCCTCAAGCTACCTGGGCTACTGCACTACTGCTTCCCATCTTTCTTCTGGTTCAGCTGTTCCAGGGATTTTCCTGGGGTGATATTTTCTGGGCTTTCAGAGGTTGATTGAGAATACTTTCAAAAATACGAAAATACACAAACTAGTAGGAGATCAGGGGTAGTGGGGTGACACAGTGTTTAGAGCTCTGGGTCTGAAGTCAGGAAGAACCATCTTCCTGAGTTCAAATCTGGATTCAAACACTTACTTGCTGTGGAACTCTGGGCAAGTCACTTAATCCTATTTGCCTCATTATCTTCATCTGTCAAATGAACTGGAGAAGGAAATGACAAACTGCTCCAGCATTTCTGCCAAGAAAACTCCAAATGAGGTCACAAAGAGTCAGACACAATTGAAATAACCCATTAATAATAATAAAAAAAGAGAAGATCCAATAGGAATCTTTAATATCTGATCTCCAAAAACCACACCAACAACCAAACAACCAACCAAACAAAAAAATTGTAAAGGAATTATGAAGTGAAAAAAGATCTTAGTACTATTGGATTCACAGGAGAATTCTATCAAAATTTTAAAGAAAAATTATTAACTCTGCAAAATTTATTCTCCAAAGTAAAGAAATATCATGTATACAGAGGAAACATTAAGTAACAAAATAATACAAAGTAACTGAGAAAATTAGAGTACTAAGAACCTGAGGGATGAGGAAAAGTCTTTTGTAGGAGCTAGTAACTGAACTAGGGGCTTTAGGGATTAAGGATAGAGACTGCATTTTATCCTTCATTTTCTCCTCAAACCTTAGCATAGTGTCCTCCCTCTTTGGCACATGACCATCTGAGGAGGACAGGACTGTGAGGAAAGATCAGGTGAGCAGCATGAAAAATCAGACTATTACAGTCATCAGATGCCACAAGAAAGATTAAAGGTACAGAAAAGGGAGGTTGCATTGCCCTCTAAATTTACTTCAAAATTTTCCCTTAGACTGGCTGTATGTTGGAATAATGGAAAGAGCATGTGATTTCAAGTCAGGAGACCTGGAAATTCGAGTCCTGTATCTGATACTTCCTGTATTAATTTGAATAAATGACAGCCTCACAAATAGCCTGTTTCTTCATCTGAAAAATGGATAAAATAGTACTTATCCTATCTGTTTTATAGAGTTTTGAAGAAAGTTCTTTGCAAGCTTTACAATAGTTGAGAACTGAATTATTTCTATTCTCTTATTTCTATCTATTTCCCTGATTTGAGTGTTTTTCCCCAATAAATCTCAGCATTTTCAAAGTTAGGCACTTCCCCTTCTGTTTTCTTCCTTTACACCTATGTTGTACACAGTCTTCAATCATCACTAAGTATGCCCTGATAAATCACAAAGATTTTTTCTCTATAGAACTAGATTCCTTCATAATTTCTGCACTGATAAAAAACCAAAAATGACAAAAAGTTGAGAGTCCTTCAAGGTCACCCAGAAAGCCAGTGGGTGGGCCTGGCAGTCAACTCAGAAGATTTTTTTAAGCCCATAGTTTGCCCACTGAACCCCATTGATTTAACATACCAAGCTGTATGACTGACTTTATGTGCACTGAAGGTAGAAAATTCAAACTGCCTTTAGGGTTAAAGTACACCTTACATAACATTGGTTTTGTTTACTGATGTGGATATTCAGTTGTGTCATAGAAGCACATTATATTTAGAGTCCCTCAAATGAAGAGGATTAGTGAATTGTGGGTGGAGGTTCAAGACACCAATCTTGGATCTCACCAAGGCAATATTTGAAGAAGATTAATTTCTCTTTGGTTGTTTTCTGACTTGGCATTTCTATGATTCTGTACAGGGGTTAGTCACTCAATCAGTTTACAGCTGTGCAAGACAGAAGCAACCTCAGCCTTTTAGGAAAGCATAGATCTCTGCACCAGACATGTGGCAAAGAACTGCTCTCAACAACATATGGCAGATTTCCCTGGTTCTCTGCTCCATTATTGTGTTCATCATACAGGGTAAGGTTTGGAGTTTTTGTTTTGTTTTGTTTTATTTCTCCTTCCAAAAAGAAAAGAAAAAAGAACTACTTAGAACACTTAGTACTATCTCATCTGAAAATTTTTTTCAAATAAATGTTTGTGGATTTTATTAACAATCACAAATTAACAAAACTGATAATGTTAACTGCATAGAGACTCATCTTTCTGAAAGAGTTCCATATCCTGAACCAGCTTTACTGTGGTTTTCCATTGGAAGAAGTTGCTTATTTTATGAATTCAACAGTAGGTAAAGGGAACTGACACTGTGGGCCACCTCCTTAACTCCAGTGTGTCCCTCTTGGAGCAGCCACAGGGGTTTTTGGCTTTGGTCTAGTCAGGAATGAGTAACTTAAAACAACAATCAAACAAACATAAATCAAAATATTCTCTGGGTAAAGACAATGATTCTAAAACTGAAATGGAAATATTACAGCAATTTTCTCACTCTTTCAAGACAAAAGAAAAAAATACCTTAACTCAAATAATTGAAATTCTGGAATGTCAAGATTGGAAAGAACCTCAGTGGTAATCTATTTCAACACTCACATTTTACAGTGGAAACTTAGGCTAAGAGAAAATAAAGGGAGGGTCAAGTCAGTTGCAGAGACTGGAATAGAAGTCAGGTGGCTCAATGTATAGCCTTTTTAGTATTAATCCATGATGACTCCCTGCAGAAGCCATTTAAAAACTGACTTTTTTGTTGTTGTAATGTTTAATTGTAGTAAAGGAGTGGGAAACTGAAGCACGCGTGGTCTTGCTGAGCGGCATTAAGGAGTCCAGAGAAGGGAGAGAATCAGTATGAATTGATAGAAAGGATGAGAGGAGAGGAGGAACAATGCTGGGAGAGATTTCTGCAGAAAACTTCTAAGCTCCCTCAGGTGGTCAAAATCATGGGCCAAGTAAATTTCAGAGCTGGATGAATGAGTAGGAATTCAGGGGGTTACCATGGATAGATCTTAAAGATAAAACTTTCTGGTTGGAACAAACATGTAAATCAAGTGGCAAACTGAGGTAATTGCCTAGAGAACTCATTAAAGAATAACAATTTGCTCATCTGAGTATTGTGGCTCTTCATTATCTAATTCAGTTCTTCAGTTTGTGCATTTGTGTGCATAGAAACAGATTCAGAGTTGGAGGGAGAGAGGAGGAATAGGGCTCATTCCTACTGGTCTACAAATCAACTAAGCTATCTGCTGCTTTCTTTGGAGAAGAGGAAATAAGAGTGACTGAGGGCCTCTGAAAAGGTGTTGTTGGACCAGATAATCAACTTGGTCCTTTCCAGATCTATCTGGAAGGCTCTCAGGGAGAGAAGGGAAGAATGAATGCTGAGGAGATTGCAGCTATGCATATGAGCTATGAGAAAAATCTTCTGGCCAGGACTAGAAACCTTTTAACATTTGCAAAGAAGGGACGTAAGTTAAGAAAGTTCTGACAATATTAATATGCAATTCTCTGATCCAAAGTGCCATCACCTGTACTCTGAGGGCATTAAAAATGATGATCTCAAATGGCTCTCATACCTATAAATTTTATGATTCTATGACTTTGATGGCCCTGGAGTCAAAAAGAAGCAAAGACATATTTAAGCTACTGGCTAGCAAAAAAGATCTCTGAACAGGCTTTTTTTTTTAAAAAATTATAAACTTAATAATCAACAGAATAACAAAATTTTACACAAAACCCATAGCCTTTAATGAAACAGACAAAAAGAAATGAACATGCAAAGAAAAGAAAATGTTTTTTGTTTTTGTTTCCTTCCATATATGCCCGAAGTTCCTCTACCCTGGCCCTGTTTTCCTTCTTTCTTTCTTTCTTGTATTTTTTTAAAAATACAGATGTAATCAATATGTGTTTGATTTTGGAGAATGAAGCCCACCTCAAGTGCAATCAACAGCATCTCCAGGCCAATCCATTGTGGAGCTCTAGGCTTGGTCATGCTCAACATTGGTTTCTGGTCCAAGACCAGAAACTGCAGAAATGCCTTAGGTAAGACAGATCCTATAATCTCCAAAGTTCATAGAGGCAGGAGTTCAGTAAGAGGGAGCAGTATCCAAGGAGCACTAGGTGGGGGTCTAGTGTGGAGCTCTAGTGAGCTCCAGATCCAGAGACAGGAGAAAGACCCTGTGCAGAGGCTAATCTGAGTTGTCTCTGAGGTCCTTAAGGAGAATGAAAAAAAAATAAAGTGATCTTTTTTTTCCAATATATTTTATTTATTTTGTTAATTATTTCTCAGTTACATGTAAATTTTAAAATATTTATTTAAAAAATGGGAGTCCAAATTCTCTCTCCTTTCCCCCACTCCCTCTTACATGAGAAGTCAAGCAATTTGATATCAATTACACTTGTGAAGTCATGCAAAATGTATTTCCATATTAACTGTGTTGCAAAAGAAAACACAGACAAAAAACCCAAGAGAAATAAAAAAAAGTATAAAAAATATGTTTCAAGAAACAAAAGTATGCTTCAATATGCATTTAGAGTTCATCAGTTTTTCCCGCTTTGGAGATGGATAGCATTCTTCATCATGTTGTCTTTGGAATTGTCTTGAATTGTTTGTCTTCATCAGAGTAGCTAAGTCTTTCACAGTTGATCATCATTATAATATTGCTGTTACTGTGTATGATGTTCTCCTGATTCTGCTCACTTCACTTCACATGAGGTGATAAAAGTCTTCCCAGATTTTTTCTGGTCATTTTTCTTATACCACAATAGTATTCCATCACAATTATATACCATACAATTCAGCCATTCCTCAATTCATCAGTATTCCCTCAATTTCCAATTCTATATGTATAGTCATGCAAAACACATTTTCATATTAGCTGCATTGCAAAAGAAAACACAGAACACTGCCTCTGAAAAAAGCCAGAAGAATAAAGTAAAGGAAAAGTATGCTTCAGTCTCATTCATGCTCTATCAGGTTCACTCCTCCTCTGGAGATGGATGACATTTTTCATCATAAGTCCTTCAAAATTGTCTTGGATCATTGTATTGCTATAAAGGTTGAACAAATTCTGGTATATGATTATGATGGAATACTACTGTGGTATAAGAAATGATGAGCTTGTTGATTTTTTTTAACTTTCTTTTTTTATTAAGAAATTTATTTATTTTTAGTTTTCAACATTCACTTTCACAAGATTTTGAGTTCCAAATTTTCACCCCATCTCACCTGTCCACCACCCCAAGATAGCATGCATTCTGAATACCCCTTCCCCTAGTCTGCCTTCCCTTCTATCTCTCCCCACTCTTCTTTTATCCCCTTCCCCTTCAATTTTCCTGTAGGGCAGGATAGATTTCTGTACCCCATTTCCTGTATTTCTTATTTTCTAGTTGCATGTGAAAACATTTTTTTAAACATGTGTTTTTAAAACTTTGGGTTCCAAATTTTCTCCCTTCTTCCCTCCCCACCCACCCTCAATGAAAAGGCAAGCAACTCAATATAGGTTATACATGAACACTTATGCAAAACACTTCCATAGTAGACATGCTGTGAAAAACTAATTCTATTTCCCTTAATCCTATCCTGCCCTACCCCATTTATTCTATTCTTTCTTTTGATCCTGTCCCTTCTCAGAAGTATTTGCTTCTGATTACTCCCTTTTCCAATCTGCCCTCTTCTCTGTCATCCCCCTAATCACTTGTGCCGTTCCTCCCACCCCATTTTCCTATAGGGTAAGACAGATTTCCATACCCAATTGAGTGTGTATATTATTCCCTCCTTAAGTCAAACCCTATGAGAATAAGAATCACTCACTCCCTCTCAACTTCCCCTGTTTCCCCTCCACTGTAAGAGCCTTTTCTTTTCTGTTGTTTTGTGAGATAATTTATCCTTTTCTACCTCTCCCTTTCTCCTTCTCTTAGTATAATCCTCTCTCACCCCTTAATTTTCTTCTCCAGGTATAATGCCTTCATCTTCAACTCGCTCTGTCCCCTCTATCTATCTATCTATACATACATACATATAATTTTTTTCCCTCCAACTACCCTAATACTGACAAAGGTCTCATGAGTTACAAATATCATCTTTCCATGCAGGAATGTAAATAGTTCAACCTCAATAAGTCTCTTATGTTTTCTCTTTCCTGTTTACCTCTTCCATGTTTCACTTGAGTCTTATATTTGAAGGTCAAATTTTCTATTCAGCTCTGGTCTTTTCCACAGGACTGCTTGAAAGTCCTCTATTTCATTGAATGACTATTTTTCACCCTGAAGGATTATACTCAGTTTTGCTTGGTAGGTGATTCTAGGTTGTAGTCCTAATTCCTTTGCCCTCTGGAATATCATACTCCATGCCCTCCTGACACTTGATGTAGAAGCTGCTAAATCTTGTGTTATCCTGACTGTGTTTCCACAATACTTGAATTGTTTCCTTCTGGCTGCTTGTAATATCTTCTCCTTGACCTGGGAATTCTGGAATTTGGCTACAACATTCCTAGGAGTTTTCCTTTGGGGATCTCTTTCAGGAGGTGATTGGTGGATTCTTTCAATTTCTATTTTGCCCTCTGGTTCTAAAATATCAGGGCAGTTTTCCTTGATAATTTCTTGAAAGGTGATTTCTAGGCTCTTTTTTTGATCATGGCTTTCAGATAGTCCAATAATTTTTAAGTTCTCTCTCCTGGATCTATTTTCCAGGTCAGTTGTTTTTCCAATGAGATATTTCACATTCTCTTCTATTTTTTCATTCCTTTTGATTAGTGTTACAGTGCCTTGATTTCTCAAATTGTCCCTAGCTTCCAATTTCTCCATTCTAATTTTTAAGGAAGTATTTTCTTCAGTGAGCTTTTAGACTTCTTTTCCATTTGGCTAATTTTGCTTTTAAGGGCATTCTTCTCCTCATTGGCTTTTTGGACCTCTTTTGCCATTTGGGTTAGGCTATTTTTTAAGGTGTTATTTTCTTCAGTATTTTTTAGGGCCTCCTTTAGCATCACTCTCAGTTTTTCCTCTACTTCTCTTACTTGCTTCTCAAAATCCTTTTT